AAAGCCACAATGTCACTTCTAATGTCCACTTTCCAACTTCAATAATAGAAAATTATGAGATGAGAATATTCAGCTATCTTTCCTCTGCTAAATTTGTTATTCAATGTTTTTGAGGATCAAAGTGTGGCAAAGACTATCCAGAATAATGCTTCAAAAATGCTTTCAAAAAACCACAGAAGAAGTAAAAATACTGGTAAACAAGAAAATAACTAAAATCAGAAAGATTTAAAGGTTCTATTTGAGGTCCATTTTCTATTCTTCTATTTTGAAGAGATGTGAATCTAAAATTAGTTATATCGTGACTGTACCTATCAGTAAGAATCACCAGTGTGACAGAAGGAATTCTATTTAGTTCCTAAGGCAATTACAGGAATTGCTGTCTGAGAAATGTCAGCCTTAGAAGGGGCTAGCATAAACTGAGATGAGCTCTGGCTTACAAGTTATTTTCCTTGGAAATAGATACTGTTTTTCAACAAATTTGTCTCAGTTACCACTGCTTTATTATTTTAGAAAGCCCTATACAAGTTTCTATGGGAACTGTGGACAAAAAACAGTGTGACATTAATTTGAATATGATAATACTACACTAGAATGAAAGAATTTTTTGAGCAGAGAGGAGCTGTGCTATGAAAAATGTTGGTAAATGTCTGCCCTGGAAATATTTAAGAGGAGCTGTGAAATTTCTTTTACAAAGATCTTCCTTACTGAGCATCATAAAGCTGATCATCACCTATATGAATTAGTCCTCCACTTTTCCCCTCAATATCAGCCCTACTGTCACAAAAACATTGACTAATTGGAGTGTCTTCTTTGTACTATATCCTACTCTGGTGGATAACCTCTGTTATGAGGAAGGAAAGATTAAATGGACGTTCTCCAAATTATTTGTCACACATTTCAAGTCTTCACAACTGTTAAAAATGGGTCTGGATTCTAAGGATGGTTAATTTATCAAGTACAGGTATGGTGTCATATGCTGTGTTATGTCATGAAAAAAGCACTTTAAATGTATCTGTTAATAGAGAGAACAGTCGTATTCAAGAACTCTGGGAAATGAAATATCTTCATCATGGCAAATTGCTTGGTAAATCTTTGAAACAACACATAGAAACATCCTCCTACTAGCATATCATTTAAGGTACTTAAAAATGGCAAGTCAAACTTCACAAGAAAACTATGTTTGCAGTATTACTTTCTTCTCTTCTTCAAAATATCCACACTTCTAACCTTTCTAGGAAAATTAGCATTCTGACAAAGGAGATTATTTCAGAAGATGAAAAGATAAAAGAGAACACGTTTCTGGCTTCTTTCCACACTTTTTATCTTCAAGATTTCCACTTCATCCATGTATCAAACTGTTTTTAATTGCATATAAGAGGGGGACATGAACTGTAATAAATTAGTTTCTTGTTACGTGTCACACTGTCATAGAATCACAGAATCATAAACCATAGGATAATTTGTGTTGGAAGGAGCCTTAAAGATTATCTGTTCCCCTGCCATCAATTCCCCTGCCACACACAGAGACACCTTTCAGTAGCCCAGGTTTCCCAAGTCCCCATCACAGCTGCCGTTGAACACTTCCAAAGAAATACAGTGTTGTGTGCTGATCCTTTGTTTTGTTATTCATACTAGCTAAAATGCCTTGTGACTTCAGTACTATAACTTCCTCCAGGAAAGGAAAGAAACAAAGAAATCCATCAGGTCGACTGAGCAATAAATAGTACAGGAACCAGTGAAGAAATGGAGGCATGTCTTTTGTGTAATGATGGTACAAACATTTCTGACATTGATTACAATGGAAACATTTATTGTGCAATGTTCTCCTAGAAAATTTATTAGTAGGGAACATAACAATATTCATTAGTGTTTTCCACATCCTGCACTCTGAGACTGCTCAGCATGAGAAAGATTAACTAGCTTTGCTAAATATATTGGGTCAACGTAGCTGACAGCACTAAATATTGTGAGATGTGGTAGAAATGTCGCTGTTTCAACAACAGCTTACACACTTTATTCAGCAAATTCTCATGTAAAGGAACAAAAACTTTATGAAGTCAAAAGCTACAGCATGTGCACTCAAAATACACGTGACTGTTTAATTCAACAAGTGATGTAAAAAGAGAGAACAATGAAAAGGAGTGAAAATGAAATAAAAGTTTAGTCTTCAAGATTTGCCCCCAAATATTACTAAATTACTAATTTTCAACCAGATTCAACAGTCTTCATCACACAATTCCAATTGAAGTTATGATCTTTAAATTTGTTCCTCAGCTAGTAAGTGCCCGAGCACACAAACAGCTAATTGCATTTGTCTGTACAGTGCTATTAACATTCCTCAGCAATGATAAACATTCCTGGGTTTAAAATCTATGAAAAAAAAAATAATCACATTGAATGTTGTGTCCTACAGCTTTCGTAAAAGGTTGCCATAATACCTTCACCACCAATCTTAAGCAGATTCCTTTCTTTACCCCCTTTCTTGTAACAAGACATTCCTTCAGACATTAACTTGGTTATTCTGTTAGTTGATGAAACACACTGTGTACTCTTATTCTGTCTTCTGTTTACCACAGTATACAATGGAACTTGTTATTGCTTTTCCATATCTGTAAATACTGCTCTCATACCTTTTTTAATAGTCCCCTATTACTGTAATTAAGAATACACTGTTTGCACCATCCCAAAAAGTGTTATGTGTTATAGAGAAAAAAGCTAGCTGTTCTTTGATAGCAACAGAAAAAATAATATTCTTCATTTAAACTCAGTTTGGTTTACAAGGGCATTAACACACTGAAACTGACATTATTAATATGTAGCTTTAATTAAAAAGCTACAGAAAGGAAGTTCATTTTAGGTTGCAGAAACATAGTATTTGTGCAGAAACTGATTATTTAAGCCAGAAATTAAAGAAATGTGAAACTGATATGACATATTCTCTTCAGTGTCTGCAAATTACTAAATCTATTAGAGAAGTCAAAGTAAGTATTACTCACACTGGATATACAGACACTACAATAGTTTCCCAATGACAGGAGATTCTTTAGTAAAAAAGAAAAAATGTTTCTAATATTCCATGTACAGCAAAGACATCAGAAGATAACCAGCATTTGTAGCAGATATCCTTGTTGATTATTCTATCGGTTTATAGGCAGAAAGTCCTAACCAAAGTCTGAGTACATGAAAGAGCAGAGGTTAGAAACCCATGAATCATGTACCACTGATAGTATTTTCTTTCTAGTTTTGCTTTGCAGCTGAGTTTCACTGCTGAACAGATCCATGTGCTTTGACATCACAGTGACTGAAAACTAGACACGCTTAAGAGATTTTGGGATTGAGCTGCTTGTAGGTAACTTTTCCATCATCTGTGCACCTTGCACTAAGAGATGAAGAGTCTAAATGAGCTATATATGGCTAGGTCTCTATTAAACAAAACAAAATTGAAAACAGAAGTAAGTCTCAAGAGTTTTGGTCATGTACATGCTTCCTTCCAATTTTGACAGCAGCATTAATGGATACTTTTCTATCTGTTCTCCCTACAGAGGTTTCCAGTCTTAGCTTTCCTTTTGTGCATTTTGTTGTCTGATTTACTTGATGCTTTGCTACATGACACATTCCATCCACACACACTGAATGTGGCAGACATGCTCAGACATTTGGCAGTGTTTGAAAATATTATTCTTGCTCTGAAATCAATGCAAGAAGTTTAGTGTAGGTAAATGTAAGTAGGCTGATAATTGAAGATGAAAAATGATAAATAGAAATGCTATTTTTAAATTTTTTAAAAAATTCAACTAGTATAAGATTCTCTGTGTCTTTCAGACAAAATGTAAGATTATTTTTTCAAGACTAATCTTGGTAAGTCTGTTCTTCTCAAGGATAGGATGAATCCTAGTTCAAGAAGCTGTATTTTAGGAAGAAAAGATGGCAACAACTTGGGCCTTTGCTGTGCAGCATCTGCAAGCATCCCAGAAAACTGAATTCGATTTTTAACAGAATTATATTACTTTAACATCATCTGCAAGAATCATTTGTCTTTCTAGCAAAGCTCTAGGAAGCATGTAATACATGTAGAGCAGAGTTAACTTGAGATCCTGTTAATCATGTATTTAGCATCTGTGTTTTTAGGAGAACAAATGACTTTTGCTCATCATTTGTGATGCTTGAGGATTCATGACAATGAAAAGGCTATAAACAAATTTAAGATAATATTACCATCTGAAACTCTGTCAGATTTAATAGGTGGAAGGAGATAAACTGAGTTAGAGTGTGCCACTTTGTGATTTGAATCCTGGAAAATAATAGATTCCATAGGCTACCCTATGTCCAAGGTGTCTATTCAACTTTATTCAAGATATCTTATAAGGTGGAAAAACAAATCATGCTGTGTGGTAAATGTTGAGTCCCAGCCTGAATCACTGATTGAACACCTGGCAAAGGACCCAGCCAGTCCTGGGATCACAGGTGAAGACAATTCATCTGTGTGACCAGAAGGGGGTGGAGCCTGGCTGTACCTCTTTTAGACCTCATTTAAAGGCTATCTGAGAGTGGGGAAGGATGTCTTTCTGGAGATCCCTTCCTTGTGGAATTTTCCTCGTGAGCCTAGATCGTCAGGGCTAGGTGAGCACTTTCCCTTTGTAACACCTGTCCATCATGCTAGCCCTTTTGCCACTACATCTCCTATACTGCTATTCAATTGTGTTGATCTTTCTGACTGTTACATGTGGTAAATTAAACACACGTGTTTTTCAGAATATACTGCTTTCTAAAATGAGGAAAATGAAATAATTACATTATGGATACACAATTGCCTTGAAAGATATTGGAATTCTGGTCTTTAATAAATGAAGAACCACTCCAGAATGAAATTTCTATAATGAAAATTTCAAATGCTATATATCTGTACTTGCATAAGCTGTATCAGTTTTGTGGAGAACTATATAATCAATTAAAGCTTGTAATTAACTCAGCAAGCAAAGAATTGAAGCAGCTGTACTTACTATGTCAGCACAATAGCTACAGCATCATTTAGGACGCTCTCTCCAAATAGAAGTGTGTACAAATCTGTATCCACGTGCAGCTCATTGAAAATAGCAAGGACTGTCACTGTATGGAGACAAAACAGCGAGTTTCTTATTTTTTTATTCCTTTTTGTATTTCAAGAAATAAAGCAAGTGTTAGTATATGGGTTTGGGAAAGTCTTGTCTGATTTATTACCTGAAGGGTTGATAACTTAAAAGAGATCAGCAAAGGTATATATAATATCCTTAAATCTAGTAATTCTATGTATTCTGCCTCTCCAGCTAATTAGGAAAATACTTTCTTACACAACGAATGATGCATAATTCAGAACGTCACAGCATACTTTACTGTGCAAAAGGGCCTAGGTGCTGTTGACAGAGAGTAACAAGGATGCTGAAAATACTTAAGATTTTGCCATTGGTTTTTTGGATGATGAGAGTAGTGATTTGCATACTTTAAGATGCTTATGGTAACGTTTATCCACCTGTAATGTGTATTTATTGAGAAACTCAAAGGAAAAAATAACCTTGTATCCTGTCCTACTAAAAATACAACCACTTTTACTTGAAGTGCAGCACACTCATAGTCTGGAAGCTTCCTCATCCAGATTAGGATGATTGATACTTACAAGCCATTTTAAAGTCCCTTCAATCAATTTAGGCTTCTTTCATTTAGAAATGTTAATCATTTAAACACACATTTGTAAGATTATTTAGAAACTTTTTTCATATTTGGTATCTATGTCCTATAAATTTTAAAGGACACTTAAGTTACTTTATTTCACAGTCTTTTAACCTGTAGACAGGTGATCACAATCCCTTCATAGACTTACCTAGCACTGGCACTGCAGAATCTCTAAATGGAGAAAAACAAACAAATAAACAACAACAAAAAAACCCACCAACAATACAAAACCCAGGATATTCTGTGAACATGTATATTCAGATTTTTGCTTGTTTAGGCAATGCTGTTTTAATGTGCTAAATGTGGATCTAATTAAGTCTCCCATTCTCTGATGTCATTAGTGTAGCAACAGACCTATTCTCTAAAACACTTTGCCTCTTCCAGCTTTTGCTCATTAGTTAATTGCTTACATTAATAGTTCCTTCAGAAATGATAGAAGGAAAAAAAAAATAGTGCTTGAATTCTAGTTTATTGTTGGTATTTAAGTATAGCAGGCCAAGTAAATTAGATTTGTACACATTTCTCTCTTTCCTCTTACCTCCCACAAAACCAACACATTTTCTTGTTTCAAAGAAGCACGTTCTCATTCACTCCCAACTCCAAAAATCTAATTACAGATCATTTAGAATGATAGCAAAAGAAGAATATTTTTATAAACCCGTTTTCCCCTTTTTTGCCATATATTGGTCTCAATTACTGATTTTAGATTATAAACTTAAAATTCTTTTTACTAGTAAATGCTGATTTCTTATCTTCCATTGATTATTCCTAAATATAGAATTTTGATGTTGATTTCAAACTATTGCAAGAATCATTTTGAGTTCTAATTTTGAGTTATAATTCTTACATTTCAAAGTGTTTTGTCTCCTCTCAGCATAGTATTGTACCTTAAAGAAGCATCCTCTGCTGCATCACCCAATTCATTAATGAAAACAATAAATATTATATGCAAAAGAACAACGAACTGCAGAATCTTTAACACACCCACACCATTTAAGAATTCAGTAGAACATTTTCACCTTGTTTTGCCAAACATCATCTAGTCATTTACTCAACATCACATTTGACTGATTTGTCAATGAGAATCTACAAACATACTTCAGAGTGGGCACGTTAATACTCAATAATGAAAAAAAGTTAATTTAAATTGCTCTCTAGGTACAATAAGATCCTATCTATGAATTATCTGTGAGTGGTCGTTGTCTAAAACACTCACATGCTTCGTCTGATGGATGACTTGAAAATTCTCGAGACAATGAATTTAAAACTTGAGTATTTGCCTTTATATACAACAGTAGCATTTCTAATCTGTGAGAACTCTCATACATAAGTAAAGCAGTCTTTAAATACTACACTGCATTAAATGTGGCCTCCTTGGCTTTCTGAAATATCAGCAAATTTCAACGATCTCTAAGATTAATGCATCTCTGTTTTGTAATTGAAAAGAACAGGGAAAGTCAGAAAATAAATGCGACCATTATATAAAGTACTGGTATTAAACTGCCTTCATATTCTGAGTAGGAAAATTAATATCTTTCATAACTTATGGCCTAACAACTGTAAAGAAAATGAGAGGAATCTCACTTATGTCTCCCATCAAGTTTCCTTTAAAAATAACAATTCCAATTTTAATTATAGACTCCTTTCCCTGCTAATCCATCACACCACTCATGGATTAGTTCAGGGGTGAACAAGAAAGTATTAAAATATGTTAATTAAAAACACATTTATAAGTAAGCTTTTATAACCAGTGCAGAAATATATTATCTTGCAGTATTTATAAACTGTTTTTTTTAATGCAAAATCCTCTGATTATGCGTGAAGCAAGAACTGTTCTTTCCAATAAACACCCTATTTTATCAATGACAACAGAATTGTAACTCACACGCTAGGTTCAGCTGTAACCATAGTAACTTCAAATAGAAAAGTGCTTCATGATTATCAATATGACCAAAGGTAAGGGAGTTTTTGTAGCTTAGAAATAGCTGTGCTTCAGCAAACCCTGTGAAGGCAAATCTCTCTTCTCAGCCTGAAATATCAAAAAAAGTGCTAATGATACATGAAATGTCTTTGGATTGGAAGGTCACTGCGCAGAATGTGTTAACAACAACAAACTGCCAAAGCTGTGCTTTCCAGTTATTTTTTTGGTGGTGAAGGCAGAAGTCAATTTCTTTGTTGATTGTCAGTCTTCTGCAAAAATATCTATACTGAAGATCTTTAAATACTCACATATAGGATGCTTTATCTTTATTTCCTTCTTCCTTACAATTTCAGAACTTCTAACTGGCATATTTGCTTACTGTCCTGGTAGTAATATTCTTCATTTAACATGTAAGCATCTACCACCATTTTTACTATTACAAATAAGGAATTCAATAAAAAAAAAACTTCCCCCAAGTCAACGGATCTCTTTTAACAACTTTAATTGCTATTCACAACCATGGGGAAATTAAAAACGTTTTTGAAATTAGTTTATAATCCTGCCATTGAAAAAATTAAATTAAAAATCAGGTAGCATATCTGACAGGAATTTCTTATTTCATTCTAGTACTGTAATTCATTGTTTTACGTACTTTCATGACACCAACAACAACATTTTACCAGAAACTGCTCAGAAGCTACATATCATACATAAAATCATTAGACTGATTATTTTATAAGGACTAATACCTATCAGTCCCCAGGAGACCATGTTTTAATTGATCCTGGAGTTTCAGTGAGCTCTTTGTATGGTTTGAGATCAAAATTCACTATCAAATTCTACAACACAGTGAAATATTTTCTGCAATGTCTACCATTAAAGTAAGCAAAAATATTCATTCAAAATTCTATAAGACATGGGTCAGAAATTCACTGGTAAGATTACTTAAACAAGTAACAGCTTAGAATATTGTGAATAGATAACAGAAAAAGACTGAACATTCAGACAACTCTTGGACACATATACGGGCACTCTGTATAAGTGGAAGAATAATGAAAAGTAGCATTAATAGCTGATATGGTTAATAGTTACTAGTTACAGAGTTTATTAGCTGGGAAAAGTAGTTCTTGTTACTACTTCTTCCTTGCAGTGAAAGAGTTTTTTTTTTCTCTCATGACTATTCTAGATTATTCAGTGGTGATTTAATACTACTATAGTCAACGTCACTGTGTTTGTCTTACACATATCTCGTTATAAATCAACATTTTCATTTGGGGATCTAAATAGAGTTGGAATGGAAAATGGAGAAAAAAACTAAGCCAACTACAAAACTCTATTCATAGTACAATCAAGAAATGTACTCAGTTGCTTTAAGCAACCTTCTATTACAGAAGCAATTATTTGTCTTATGTTTAATTTGTGCTTTCAGTTTCTGTGTTCCTCTCTTGCTGTGAAGATGGGCTCCAATCATGGGCTGAATATTATTAAAATAGTTGGGTGGTTTTATAAGTGGCAGCATATTGGATGTTTCATTTAATTTGAGAATAACAATTAGAAGCAGCTTTTACAGCAGTCTTATAACAACAAATAAATTGTTTTACACGATATTTTTAAGCCATCAGAATGATAAATTACAAGCTGTCAAAGTCTTTTGTTAAATATTGAGGTTTCTTTTAATGAATGGAACAAATTTGTGGAACAGTGTTGCTTCTTATCGCTTCTTCTAATAACCATGAATTTGAAAGATTTTTCATACATTTCTTAGAGAAGCTTGTCAGGAATAGTTAATACTAACACAGCACACCATGTGCGTCATAAAATGCCTTTTGTTCTATTTCCTTTAACTACTGAACTGGAAATTTTGCAAAAATCCAGTGTACCTTTCTATTCTCTTTAATTCATCTCTTTTACACAGTATTCACAGAATCACAGAAATGTAGTGAATCTACCAAAGTAGCTTTCCTAGAGTAGGTTGCACAGGAAATTTTCAGGTGGATTTTGAATATCTCCAGAGAAGGAGACTCCGCAACCTCTCTGGGGAGCCTGTTCCAGTGGTCTGTCACTCTCACAGTAAATAATTTTATCCTCACGTTCATACAAAATTTAATGTGCTCCAGTTCTTACTCATTGCCCCTTGTCCTGTTGCTGCACAAGACCGAAAAAACGTCTGCCCCATCCACTTGACTTTCACTCTTTACATATTTATAAGCATTGATAAGATTCCCTCCCACACTTCTTCAGGCTGAATAGTCTCAGGTCTCAGCCTTTCCTCATATGGCAGATGCTTCAGTCTCCTATCATTTTTGTAGCCCTCTGCTGGACTCTCTTCAGTAGTTCCCTGTCTGTCTTGAACTAAGGAGCCCTGTACTGGACACAGTATTGCAGATGCACTTGAATGCAGCCTCAGCAAATTTGCTGATGACCTACCAAGCTGAGTGGTGCAGTTGACACATTAGAAGGAAGGGATGACATGCAGAGGGACCTCAACAACCTTGAATGGTGGGCCCAAGTGAAGCTAATGAAGTCCAACATAGCAAAGTGGAAGGTTTTGCAATTGGGTCAGAGTAATCCCAGATACATATACAGGGTGGGAGAAGAACTCTTTGAGAGCAGCCCTGAGGAGAAGGACCTGGAGGTCCTGGTGGATGAAATACTGAACATGAACCAGCAGCATGCTGTTGCACCTTGGAAGGGCAATGGTATCTTGGGCTCAATCAGAAAAGGGGTGGCCAGCAGGGACAGGGAGGTGATTGTACTTCTGTACTCTGCCCTTGTAAGGCCCCATCTGGAGTACTGTGTCCAGGTCTGGGGCCCCCAGTATGAGAAAGATGTGGAGCTGTTGGACAGGGTACTCACCAGGGCAGAGCAAAGGAGGAAGATCACCTCCTTTGCTCTGCAGTCCACATTCTCATTAACTCACTCCAAGACACCATTGGCCTTGGCCATAAGGGCACATTGTTGGCATATGGCTAATCTGTTGTCCACCAAGAAGCCTAAGTCCTTTTCTGAATTGTACAGAAGATATCAGAACGTTATCTTTTCACCTTATTTTTCACTGTGTTTCCAGAAATGCAAAAAGCAGTACTTTATTCTAGTGCCAGAGTACTGACTATAAACTTATTCTGTGTAACTAAAACTTGCTAAGTCTATGAATAACTTTGAGGTCAGCTCTGCTTTAATTATTAAGGTGGATAATAAGATCTCTAGAGTTCTCTTTGAATCTAAATGATTTTCTCATTTTAAAACTCCAAATTTCACGTTCAAATTTTGAATCTATTTCTCTCACACTTGGATGCTTACTGTAACTTTAGGCTTTAAATCGAACATCTGGAAGCTCATGTCAACATGTTGGCACCTATCTTCTCAGAATTGTATTTACCATGCAATACTGCATTCAAATTTTAAACTGATTCCTTATAAAAATATTTATACAGTGAGATCTGAAAGCTAGCTCCCTGTACCTTTAAACTGGGTTAGATCACACATTTTATAAATGATCTGGATGCAGGACTTGAATGCATACTAAGTCTGCAGATGATACTAAATTAGGAGGAGCTGTTGATTCACTTGGTGATTGAGAAGCCTTGTAGACAGATCTTGACAAATCTGGGCAATCACCAACTTTATAAAATTTAGCAAGACCAAGTGCCAGATTCTGCATCTGAGATGGGGCATCCCTGGATGCTTGCACAGAGTGGAGGATGAGATGTTGGAGAGCAACCCCACAGAAAAGGATCTGAGGGTTTTGATTGACAGCAAGTTGAACCTGAACCAGCACTGTGCCCTGGAGTCCAAAGGGCCAGCTGTACTCTGGAGTGCACCAGGCCCAGCAATAGACAGACAGGTGTCTTGAGAACTTGAGAAAAACGTTATTTCAGTCACTTCAGCAACTGCATTTATAAGGTTTGCGAACTTAACATAGGTAAACCAGTTACCAAAACAATTTGCACTAGGGATCTTTGGAGGCACTTTGTCTTATGATGATCAGAATATCAGATATTTATCAACTAGAGGAATCAAAATCAAGAAGAACTTACAGTTCAAACATTTTGATAGCATATACAGACATTATTTTCTTATTTACTCTTCTGTGTTTTGAAAATAACTGTTACCTGGATCTGTGGCAGACATCAGCGATCCAAAAAATAAACAGTCAGTGAAGTGGAATTCCCATCCTTTTAACTGGCCAATGTGCACCATGGCCTTCACGAAACCATACATTATCAACCTGTCATAGGAAAGACAAGACAGTCGTGAAGACCCAGTATATAACACTTCTGCTAGTTTCACAGCATTAAGCAGTTTCTTGTTCTCTTCAGCTTTCTTTAAATAATTGTACCATTTGAATAACAAACATAAACTACTGTCATAAAAATTCTATTTCCTATTAAACTATTCCAGCACCATATCAAGCTTTATAGACAGTTCAAATGCAAAGACTTTTATGAATAATTGCCCTCTGCTGTTGGCAGAGGACAATACTTCAAGTTGTTTATTCTTCAGAAGGAAAGATAATGTAAGCCTAAAAAGACATTATCAAGACAGATTTGCCTAATGTTATAGAGCCTTTACACAAAGACAGTAATAATCAGCTGTGTGGTTTGTTCTAGCATTTTTAAGTTAATCATCTTCATTGCCATTAGCTTTTAATGTTGTATTCCACATTCCTGACGAGTTTTTAAATGAGGCAGACGTTTCACAGCTCACAGTGTTTCACAGTGAGGCAACAAAGCCACACTTCAAAATGCACTGCTAAATCTCCCATGGATTCACACAAAGTGTTATCAGTGGTTTATATCATTCGTTAATAATTTCAGAGATGTGCATTCTAAGAATAACATTGAAATATCTTTAAAAATAAATTTACTTATTGTTAAAAACTGTAGTATATATATATATTTTTAAATGTATATTTCTGATCTAGTTAATATGTAACTCACTCCAAAAGTAATGGCTCCTATTTATTTTCATGGAAACTACAACTGCTACAAGGAGTGCAATAACACTGTTTGAGAGAGCAAATTTTCAGCTACAAAAACCTAAAAATAGGGAAACAGGTCATCATAGAATTCCCCAGTGGTTAGAAGTATTTTTGGACTGTTTGAGAAACCGCTGGAAAATCATTTAATAAATTTGCCATAACACAATCTGCTTACTATTAGTGAATTTGATTTTACCTCATTGCACTTATCTATACTTATCAAAAGCTGAGTATGTAACATTATTAGTTTTTTACAGATTTACTTTTTAAATAAAAATGCTTTAGTTAATTTCCATTAGAAATCAGATCCTTTTCTCAACTTTATAGGGTAAAACTAAGAAAATACCCTCTTACATCACAGAAGTTACTCTGTATCTTGGAGTGCTCAAACCAAGGTCAAGCTCTAACCCTGTGCATTCCAGCTAATTTTTTACTCAGAATGGTTTATTCAAAAATGCCTGCTTTGCTTTAACATTTTATTAGCTGATATTGTTCAGGTGATGCAGTCTAGTGTAGACAAATTCAAACAATAAAGCAATTTATCTATGACAAAAGCTGACAACAAATCTCTTTAGAGAAAGAATTAATCCAGTGTGACTTTTCCACTACATTTTTAAAACTGGGATCTCATCTGGATATTTGAGCTTCCAACTACAGCAACATTAAACATCATAAAATGCTGCACGACATAACTGCTTTTAATGGAAATCCAAGGAGATAAGCATACACCAGTGACAAGCTTCAGCATATCAAATTGCCTTAATAATCTTCAACAGTCAGTTTAGTATACATTTAAAATAAAAGCATTATTAAAGTATCAGTTATAAAGTTATAAATAAGGTGTTAGTACTCTTGAATTTTCGCCAGAATGTTTCTTTCCCACTGGATTACATTCCCAGTCCACACCACACTGTTTATGAAGAGTAGGCTGCTGACACAGATCAAGTTAACAAACAATATAAAACAATACTTCTGTTTTTCCAGTTTCTATCTGTCAAATAATCTTTGTTACTAATCTATAATGCTGACTTTGTATCAGAACTGAGATCTCCAGGGCTCCGTAAAGAAAATAGAAGACCAGCTGCAACTTATGTAGCATATTTCCAATACAGCTTTGAAAATCTTGCCTTTAAAATATACTTGCAACATAATTCATATGCTTCTTAGATCATGTTTTTAATTTACTTCAATCTTGTAGATTCTTTGGGAAACTGGATGCCCTTCAAGTATGAGATCTTTCTCTCTGTGAGCAGTACTTTTCTGATAATAAACATTATAAAGCAAATGCATATAAGTTTCTGGATTTTGCATTTTTACTGTGAAATATGCACCATTTAGAACTCCCTATTAGTCACTTGAGATATCATTCCTCTTTTTTCCCATAGCAAAGAAGCATGTATAGTTCCATGGAACAAAAAAAATAAGCAACAGATCTAAGAGACTTAGACACAAGACTCTTATGTTGAGAATAGGAAACCTCAGAGCTGCTGCCTAGAACCCTTATTTTCATCAGTAAAGCTCCTTAACTCCTTACCAGTCTTTGAGGGGTGAAGAAGGTTTTCCAGTGCTGTGTAATGAAGGTACTGCTTGTTCAGAGATCTTTTTGCATTCCTGATCTCGTTAATGAACTGTCTTGACACAGAAGTCGTTAGAGAGTTGCCAGGCACAAAGGTCAATGGTGAATGAAAAAGGGATAACTCCACTTTGCAGTCCCCTTTTCCTCAGCTCTCTGATACATAAGGTGTGTGAGCCTCAGGTTCAAACTCCTGCTTCACCTGGTTAACCTTCATTTTCACTAGAAAGGGAGCCGAAGAGAGACTCCAGGTTCCTAGTGCCTAAAAGCTGCTTCACCTTGCTTAGCATTAGCCATTATTCATTAAATTAGACAGCTGGGAAGTGTATGAATATGTAAGTTTGATTTAGTAACAGATGACCTTGGTGCTCATCTTATGTAAGGGAAAATCTGAGCATGAGGCTACCACACATTGACGTCTAATTCTTTTCTCCGCTATTCCTTTAGCTTTGTTTAGGTAATTTGAAGATGTGGATTTTGCTAGGTGACAAAGTGTCTCAATCCATATGTTTTGGATCTAGAAATATATTAAAGGAACAATGTACAATCATTATTTAGCAGGGAATTTATTTTGGGTTGCCTTCCCCTCTTATCGTGAAAAAATACACAAATTCATCAAATTCCTTGTATGACCTGATTAGAAAAATATTTTAGAAAAAAAAGGTCTGTAAACTGAATAGTAATGAACGGTCGCTGAAGACTTCTCAGACTCAGTGGTGGCTCAATGCTGCAAACAACACTTGTGGATAACTGATTTGGTCAATGATTTGGAATGTTAATAAAGAAATACAATAGAAGAAAAAAACTCAGCTGTACTGTGGGAGACCTGACACTTTCTGCACCCAACATAATATTATTTGAAAGCATGGCGAGTATCACATCAAGCCAGAACATGTACTTTTTGGCATTTAATAGAAAAGGGAAAAAACAGAAATGTGAATGAAACACAGGAAAATTTAGAATTTTCCAAATTATGCAAGACTGGCAAGTACAAAGTGCCTCAGCTCTAAAATATGCTACACACAATGTTGTCATTGCACAGAAGAGGAAACACCACATCAATATTTGACTTGAAGTCAGAATCATTTTCTGGGAAACTGAGCTTTCATTACAAGTATTTCTGGTGTTTCTTGTTCTGGCATTTCTTGTTTCTGAATAAACAAGTAGACCACATGAAATCTCGGTAGAACACAAAATAAACTTCAGACGTAAAAAAAAAAATCAAAGTAAATAACAGTTACTGAAGAACCAGAACAACAATTCTTGCGGTTCTAAGCATCTGGCCTGCATTAAAGCTTACCTGTGTGAATAAGGGGGAAAAAATATGTCTGTTAGAGGTCCAGTTGATTGGGTTCTTTTGTTTGTTTGTTTTGCTTTGCTTTGTTTTTTAACTGCCAGAGTTCAGTTGCTACAAATCTTTTTTTGCTGTTCCTTCGAGAATGAAGTATGTAGAGCGCATTGGATGTCTGGGTAATCCTGGATGTTTACAGAGAGCTTATGAATACAGCTGCTCTCAAGGAAGTCTAGTCTGGGACTGGGACATTCTAGACCAGCTGCTGTTTAAATGTAGAGGAAGGAAAGAGCCCTCTCCTAAGGAGAAACTATTTAAATGCTCAGGAAAAGCTGCACGTAACTATTTGTTTGCAAGATTTTCTTTTAGCAACAGCTGGTTTTAAGAAATCATGTGAAAAGAGATACTGAAATTGCTTTGGGGGTTTTGGGTAAGCTCTGAAAGTTCTGAATATTAAAACATCTGTCCAAAACACAGTTAGTAAATAAGAAATTATTTGTAGTTTTACAGTAAAAGCCAGCAGGGTGTGTTTGATGTAGAATTGAAGGAGGCTATAGGAAAGATTTAAAGCTGTCAGCAATTTTAACAGAAGCGTTGTGAATAGCCACAAATGGGGTCAGATTACATCAGGGAAGGCATGAGAAAAAGTTACTGGAGTCATCAAGACAGGAAGGATGTGCGCCTGGCAAGAGTTTAGCTGTATGAGTGGACAAGAAAGGCTATATAAGAAACATGTCAATAAGCAGCACACCTAAAAACTAAACACTTAACAAAAGGTTTTACCATGCCTAAATGCAGCTGGCAAATAGCAGCAAGTTACCAGCATATCTGGATATGCAAAAACACTGGATATGGGGTCCAAAAACACTGTGGAGAGGGACAACATGTGCATGAACAGCAAGCAAAGGAGAGAACAATGTGACAACAACAGGCAGAGATTGCCACTGACAGAAGAACCTTGTCACACCCCTAGTTTTATCCATTTTGATCTTCTAAGAGCAAATAAATTGTTTCCATCTTAAGTTTCTATCTTTATTTAGAAAGCACAAAAGCAATGGTTGCTAGTTCAGGTGAAAACCTTCTGCAGAATCACTGTCAAACATCTGACGTTGTGGTAAAAGCAATTCACCCATACTAGTCTCAGGTACATACAGAACAGGCTGAAATAGCAGAATCACAAAGATCCAAATGAAGAAAGAAGCGAAAAAGCAGGAGCAACTACCAAAGATGGTCCCACGATGCAGCAGATGATTCATACAACATAAGCACACAAAGAAAATCAGTATTCTGCTTGCTTGTATTTCCAGAGATGGACTCTGAGAAGCAGTGCTGTCGCTGAACTTTGACCCAGCCTGCTATGCAAAAGTATAGGTTTGTTTTCTT